GGGATTAAAAAAAAAAAAAAAAAAAAAATTGTACGGGGCCCCTAGCGTACGAGTAGCGTACGAGTACAAGAGTACGAGTCCGTACTCGTACGAGGGTACGTACAAGTGGCAACGTAGAGCAACGCCATCAACAGGCCCAACGGGGAACAAGGGACAAGACCGGCTGGGGAATCAAGTACTGGAAAGAGGAAGTTGTATGTGGGTTTTGACTCTAACTTGGTTGTGGGCAGAGGGGTAAGGAAGCAAGGGACCAGGGGACCCTCACCCCTGAGAGGGGGGGAACCAATAGATCTCTCATCTGACAGTGAGAGCAGTAAGGGGGGAATGTGAGCCCAAGGAAGAGGCAGAGGTTGGACGAGGAAGAACCCAACGAGATCATAGATCTCAGCAACGGGGAGGAGGATGAGGAGGTCACAAGACCAACTGAAGAAGTACGGGCAAGGAATGAGGATCCGGGCGATGAAAGCGACAAATGGATAAAGGAGTTTGGCCCATCTTGCAGTGATTGGTTTGATCAATGGACGAGTATCATGCGGTATGAGTGGGCTATCAAGGCACAAGATAAGCTAAGCAGAGGAGAAGACATAACACCAACGACCTTCTTCACGGAAGGGGCACTCCTTGATTTACAAAGAACGAAGAGAAGGATCCAAGGGGAAATTGACGCTCACGCAAGGCAAGCCCAACACAAAGCAACTGAGCGATAGACGGACAACAGACATAATAGGGAATAGCTAGAAAATGGGGAGGATGGGTACCTGGGCAGACAGAACTGTTATATTGAACTTTGCATTTGAATTTTTTTGGAATAGACCACAATGGGACAACTTTTCATTCGGGAAATGACTAAGGACTGGGCAGCTACTGCTACTTTGCATAAGTACTTGCTTCTTCAGAAGGACGTGAGGACCAATGAGCTTGAGACTAGAGCTATGAAGGGCTGACTACGTCTAGAAAAAACAAAAAGGAAAAAGGGGACCTAGATGAGACGAGCCTGGGGTATCATTCTTGCACATGAATTTTCTCCTTTTCTTTCTGGAAAACCGCAAATAAGACTGCTCTTTGAAGTGGGGAAGTAAACAGGGATTGGGTAGCCAGTGCTACTTCGCATAAGTACTCGCTTCTTTGGAAAATGTGAGGATCAATGATAGTGAGAGGGAAACTGGAAATGGTTGACTCTGTTTTGGGAAAGGAAAAGAGCATGAGGATTGTTGAGATTGAAGAAAGTCTATGGCAAAAGAGTTTTGTGAAATATGTACCCTTGGATGAATGAGTCATGGTATGAGTCTCTGTGAGAGGTTAGTGGACCTATGGGTAAAGAGGTGCGCAGGATCCTCTTCCCTAGGAGCCTAATCCAACCAGTCGCAAACAAGCCTAGAGCAGCAAAGGGCATGAGAAGTCGGAGAGAGAGAAAAAAGTGATGACACACACTCCCTTCGCTATGGTTGAACGACCGGGTGGGCTAGTATTGCTTGAGGTTGCGAGCCTCAACTCGAGCACTAGACGCTAAGTCAGATGTATGCATGGACAAGAGAATGGTGTTGATGGGAGACAAAGCAAAAGGCATGCGCAAAACCTTAGAAGATGGTCACCTTCTAACCCCTGAGACAGAAATGGGATCCGTGTCCTCGAGGCCCATCCCCTTGGGCGATAACATTGGAATGGATAAGGATGGCCCTAACCAGGCTGTCCGGTTGAAATGGATAAGGATGACCCTAACTAGACTGTCCGATTGAAATGGATAAGAATGGCCCTAACCAGGCTGTCCGATTGAGATGGATAAGAATGACCCTAACCAGGTTGTTCGGAATGACCCCTGACAAGGGTCATTCTTTGGAATTGGCACTGGGGTTCCCTTGCATGGTTGTTTGAGATGAATGAGATTGAAAAGGACTCAACTTTTGAAAAAATATTGGACTCAGCTTTGGAAAAGATATTGGACTCAACATTGGAAGAGATATTGGATTGAGCATTGGAATTGGAATGAGCGTTGGAATTGGATTGAGCATTGGAATTGGATTGAGCATTGGAATTGGATTGAGCATCGGAATTGGAATGAGCATTGGAAATTGCATTGCATAAACAGGGGACCCTAGGCAACTTGAAATGGACCTGGAAATAGCATTGAAATGAATTTCTCCTTTCTTCTAGTCCTTGGCCTCAGCAAGAGGGGGGGTACCGGGCTTGCACCGCGACCTCAAGACCTCTATCCCTTAAAGGGAAAAGTCTCAGTGCGACCTGTTTCTCTTACAAGGGGATGAGGGTTAAAGGACCAAGGCACCTATCCCTTGGATCGGTGCAGGCCGTCCGGAACTAACCCCGACAATGAGCTCTAGTCGGGGAGTTCAAATTGCGCCTCATGATGAGAGCCTAAATGTCAAAGGGTGAGAGGACCAAATGGGCGAGAGAGTCATTCTTATTCTAGTCTCCTTTGCTCTCTCCAACCACACGCCATACTATAGAGGGGTGACATGGCCGTTTGGGTCAGACCTCAGTTGCCCGCACTAAGATGGGCGGCACTGTCCAAGGGGAGGGGCTGGGCGTGGTACAGGGTGGAGTCCGCCACCACCACGAGGCATTGACACTGCCTCGCCGGAACATTACAACTGTTTCGGGACTAATTGCGAGGTCTTCGTAACTGCACTCGCGAACTAATTGAGAGCCCCAACTCTCTTGAAAGGAAGAGACCGGATTCAGAAAATTACCACTCGGGATGAACAATTCGCGAGGGAAGCTCTTACGGATAGACGAGGCCCTGGAAGGCTTGGACTGGACCTGCCTGCCAAATGTGAGGAGGAACCTTAGTATTGGTGTTCGCCACGTAATAGTAAAAAGTCGGATCCAGTAGGAGGATGAGGCACCACCCGCTGGGGAAGAACTGATCACTCTTCCCTTGTGAAGCGAATGGGCTTGTGTCCTTGACTGCGGTCGGCGGGCCAAAGGTCTGCGTACCTCCGAGTGAGAATCAGTCGCGCGATGGGGATATCGCATTTTGAGTGGGGGGAAGGTGTGTCATCTACCAATGAA